GTGTTCTATTGGGTCAGCTGGGGCTGGGCTTAGGGTTCCCTCCCTTTCATTTGTTGCTGCAGCTTAGCACTGTGTCGCCAGTGACTTCTGCATTCTGCGGTTAGTTGGGTTGGACATAGTTGCACTCACCAGACCTATACAACATTGTACAACAAATGTTGATCATCCCTCACATAGAGTGAAGAATGTCCTTTAGATGTGAAACTTGGGTTAATTGGTTTTCCGAATCAGGATTGACCTTCTCTTGGTTCAGCAAGTGTGGCAGCTTCGAGCAAAGCTGTCGGAAGTGCCAATGCACCACCGCCGTGGAGCGAAGAGAGCTGGAACTCTTGCTGTCATTGAAAGCCGTGCTCCTCGCTCGAAAGCCGTGCACCAAGTGTTCCTTGCTCGGTCCTACCCCCGTTTGTCCGTTTGTTTAAGGAATATGTTCGAGAAAACACGTCGTCGAGAACAAGTTTGGTGAGAAAGTTCTTCACATGTTGTTTATCGCGGACTGATCGGACAACGCATCCTGTGACCCTCGCGCGGCGAAGCAGCGCGGAGCGGCCACCTGTCGAAGTCAGAAGCTCCTAAAAGGCCGGGAGAGGACGCGAGAAGTCCTGCGCACTTCTAAACTGACGTCTTTTGGTGAACTTCGCCACCGCCGTCCTGGCCTTGTTGGCCAAAGTGGCAGGCACCCCAAGCAAAGTGGCACCCCCTTTCTTGATAATGCCAAGTTCAGGACAAACAAAATCACTCCTCCTCAAAACCGCAAGACCCAAACCCCCACACACAAGGTCAAGAGTGGTCGAAAGAGGCCTCAACAACTGAGTAATTGGGGGCTTGGCAAAAAGATCAAAAAAGGGTGTGAGCTTCCATCCGTCAGGAGCCCCCAATGGAAACGAGAAACCGAGGCTAGCCAACACAAAAACCAACTCAACGTCCGACACCCAGTAAGGTAAGGGCTCCTGAGTCTCCCAGTCCAAAAAAAGTTCAACTAAGCTGCATGAAAAGGTGACAGGAAAAGCCTGCGGCAAGCCATGAAGCATTGCCTTCCACCCGATGGGCAAAAGATCCGTGAAAGCATCTACATCTACCGTGCGAACAGCCTCAGGCGCCTCAATAGACGAAGCTCTAGCCAGTGAAGGCTCGTTCAAATCAGCTACAGCTAAGTAGAAAGCTCTCAGTTGCCTCAAGACCCCATCATAGTATTCATACCTGGCAACCTTGGCACGGACTAAGCTTAAGCACAATGGGTCTCGGTGCCTGTTGGCTTGGCCAGCAAAGTGATCAGCCCGGTCGTTCCAGTGTGAAATCCAGGTCTCAAATTCGTCAACCAGAGACGTAGAGCACAGGTGTGCTGGGATCCATCTGGTGTGTGTGGCTAGGTGCTGCCTCTGCTCCAGTGCAAGAGCAATCTCCGTCCACAGATCGAGCTCTCGTTCTGGCAGTTGTAGCACTTCACCCTTGATCAGAAGGTCGAGCGAAGCCACATTATTGTGTGAGTCTGACCACAGGCATATGGGTGCATCCACCTTATTTCCCCAGGCAATGGCGGCATGTAATGCCTGGAGTTCAGCTCTGTGCGCCGTTTGCTTGCCCCCATGCAGCGGTGCCGCCACAATCAGCTCATGCGAAGAAGCGTTGACCACTGACCAAGCGGCCAACGAGACTGAAAGGCCAAATCTGTGACAGGATCCATCCGTGAAGAGATGCTGCATCGAGCCGACATCAGCAGTGTCATTCTCGAAGTCAAAAGTATGGTCGGGCAGGCTCTCCAGGTAGGCCAGCAGTCTCTGCGATTCAGCTAGTTGGGGGACCAAAAGGTGAAATTGAGTGCAGTCTGGAAGTGCAACAAATTGTGTGGGATCAAAACCTAGCTCCGTACGGATGTGTTCGTACTTGGGGCAGCTATGCCAATGCACACGATCGTCAGGCTGAAGACAAGTAGTACACAAAAAAGACTTATCACAATCAAACTTACTGTGTTCGCTGGGCGACAAAAAAGCGCCAATTTGTATAGCCGAGACCCGGAGGCGCGATCTATGATCCAGCTGATGATGGTCAAGTCTGGAAAGTGCCAACTCAATCCCGTTCAGCTGACTCATGTGTGCATGCTTAACGTTGCGAGCCACATGCTGCGCCCATGCATCTTCAAGGCGTGCTAGCAAGTAACTTTTGTCCTGGGTGGACAGGTTGTGCAGGTAGCCGTGGTGGTCAGCAATCCAAGGCGGATCAACAACTGACCAGCCCACCATGCTAAAGAAGTTGAGCAGCTTGGTGTAAGGGCCTGGAAGAAAAGGGCAGTGAAAGTGTCCATGGTAAATCCTCCAGATCTGCAAAACATCAGGCACCTTCTGAAGCATCCTGCGAAAAGTAAGCAGTGCATTCCGGTGTTGCCAAAAACTGGGATCCTGCACCGTCTTGTCGAGCAACAGAAAGCGCAAATAGGAGTTGGCTCCTGCACATTTCAATCCCACCGCCTTGATGGCAGCTCTCCTCAACAATGTGAGGTGTCCCTCCGCCAAAGGACAGGCAGCGGCCCCATGTAGAGCCAACGGCCAAAAGACAGTTGCCAACATCTGGATCTTGTAAAAGGTAGGCGCCAGCGATCTGGCCAATTGTTTCCATTTGAGCTCCAAACCATCAGACCTGGCTTTCAGAGCTCGGTTGCGAACCGAGCGGCACATGGTCATGGCGCCACCCAACTCCTTTGTGTCTGTGAAGACCTTGCGTCCTTCAGCGATCCAATTTTGCCGAATGCGAGCGCTGGTTGACCAGTAGAAGGTCTTAGACAGATCCAGGCTGAGGCCAAAGTCAAGGAACCAGGTTTGTGTGCCCTGCACGGCTTCTTCAATTTCAGTTTCTTTCCCCCCATGAAAATCCAAGTTGTCCACGAAAGAAAGACTCTGGACCGTTGGGTGGAAGAACTTCATGAAGATGTGGTATCCCCATCCAATGTGTATCATGGTAAGGATGCTCAGCGGGCAGCCTTCAGGAAAGCCCCTGGTGGAGCTTATCGGCGGACTGACAGCCCCCAAAACTTGGAAACGCCGTTCAAAGGATGCCAGGAAATCTTGCCATGGTCGGCGGATCCCCTCCGGAGTTCCGAGGTGCTCGGCAAGCAAGAAATATGCTGGCCGTTCAATACAGTTAAAGCATTTCTGTATGTCTGCCGAGCAACCATGCCAGTCTATGCCCTGTGCCAGCGCCAACTCGATCCAGCACTGAATCTCAAACCATACTTGTGTCGTTTCTTTAGTTGGCATGAATCCGTGCAGTTCAACCGGAACAAATGGCAGCATCATACGCAAAAGTTGTCGTACCCTCAAACTAGCCCAGATACGGTGCGCCACCGTAAAAAGGTGAATGGGCCTGTAATGATCCGGCAAATGAGGCTCGTCGATCTTGCTGATGCACGTTACTAAGCCGGTTAGCATCTGCTTGGGCCAAGAAGTCAATCCATCTTCGAGCTGGTTGAAAAATTGCACTAGCCATCCCAGGTGCCTGGCGGACAGAGCCAACATGTCTTGCCTGCTGATCCCATCCGCTCCTCGTGCAGCAGTAGTTTTCATTCTTTGAAGTGCATCCACCCAGTCAATGATCGTTAGAGGGCAGAGCTTGAAGTTCAGACGTGGAAGAAAAGCTTTGGCAAAGTCAAGCACCTTGCCGATCTGCTCTGGAGATTGCATCGATATCTGACACCACTTTTGCTTCCAGTGGGCAGTCAAGTGTGAGCAGATGCCATCCGTGTCTGGAACAAAATTGCGTAGCATGACGGTGTCTCCAATGGCAAGTAATTTCCCAGATTGGAAAACTCCATCCCCAAAATCAGTCAAACATATGAATTCATCTTCATGCAGCCAACAGCTGTGAGGGCCAGTCAAAACTGGCTGGCTGAGGCGTATTCTATCATGTTCAACATCCACTACCTCAAATGTTTCATCAAAGTGCAGGTGTTGCACAACGTCTGCTTTTTGTCCTTTGAGCTCACGATGAAGGCGCTGAGTGGACTTCTCATGTAACATCTCATACCTCTCTGTACGCTGCCTGAAGTGCCAAGCTTCAAATGACCGGAAATGTAGCTGAAATTCCTGAAATATGAGCTCCAACAAGGCAGAAGAAGGGCAGCTGAGGGGCCATTCAAAGTGAGAATCTGGTAGCCGAGGTTGCCTGTTGTTCCACCAGGATTTGAAGCAGGGATCGAATCCTTTGGCCCGAACAATGGCGCTCCACACTTCAATGATGTAGAGGTCCTTGTTGAGCGATTTGGTTGTGGACCGAGTTGCGTGCAGCAGCGACTGTAGTCTTCTTCCTTGAATGTACCAGTGTCGAACGGCCGAACTGACTAAGTCAAACTTGAGTGCCAGCTCTCCCTCACGCGGGCGTCTGCAAGTAGTAATGAGTTCAGTTCGGGTGCAGGGAGAAGTTCTTTGGCCTCTACCCCGTGCCTGAGGTGGCAATGTCAAGGATGCTGTTTTGGCCGCTGCTGCAAAGTTGTCTTCTATGCTCTTCGCCCAGCCTGCATACGCCTGTGTGGCGTCTTGTGGTGGTAGACCGGGAAGCTGGTCCTCCAGGCAATCGTAAGTTCCCTTCAAATTGTCCCAAGGGAGACGAGAAGGGCGTGGCCAGCATTGAATCGTGGTAGCTTTAACTTCAGCCCGAAGATGTAGTGCAATGGTGGCATGTCCACGAAAAATCTGGCAAACAGTCACTCTGTGCAACATCAGGGCGACTTCCGGGGAGATCCACACTTGGTCTACGGCAGAAGTGGAACCATTTGTTGGGGTCCATTCATGCCCAAGGAACCGTACCGCATGTTCCTGAGCACAAGTCCAGCCTTGAGCAATCCATAGTCGCTGCTGCTCCAGCAAGTGGCTGCTGTTGAAGTCTCCGCTGATGATGCGAAGTCCACTGGCTCCATAAACAACCTGCTTGGTCAAAGTCGTAAGCAGTGAGTCAGTTAACCCATGTGCTTGAGGTCCCCATGTGGGGCCAGCTGGATACCCATAGACTGAAGCCACCAAAATAGGCTGGCCCCCAACGTCATGTCTGGCAACTTGAAGGCGTCCTGTTTGCCAGTGCTCCTTCGGCCATGGGAGTTGTAATGCATAAGCTCTGAAGTCAGTGACTTGAAGTACCCCTGTCCAGGATCCAACTTGCTGGTGTTGATCTCGAGGGGTGGCATGGAATCCTGCAATTTGTGTGGTCTTCCTATTCTGCTGGGCCGTGAGGCGATTCAAAGATCTGCGAAAGCTTAGGAGATTCTGCCCAGTGAGATGGGTCTCCGAGAAGCTGTGTATCCCTGGCCCCAAGGATGCTATCATCTGCGTCTTGTCCTTGAGTGAGCCTCCATTCGACTGCGTGAGC